AACAAAGACATCACCACCCAGCTGATGACACAACATTCCAACAAATACTTCATAACAGTTAAAGTAGACACTAGGGAAGACAGCCTAATCATAATCTCTTTCTACTGCTCACCTAATGAGGAGCTCATCCAGCCATTGGATCTACTGGGCTCAACGATGGAACAACTGAAAGATGGGAGGGTCTTAATCATGGGGGACTTTAATGCCAAGTCAAACCTTTGGCATATCCCCATTGAGGACCCGCGGGGCTACCGGCTATGTGAGTTTATGGCTCTCTTCGATCTCTCTTCGCTTAATGAGAGCACTCTGCCAACTTGTACTACCGCCATGGGGGACAGCTGGATTGACGTCTGCCTGGGCGGAGGATGGACTCAGGGCCAGGAGATTACCTGCAAAACACTGGACATGGTCTCGGCAAATGACCACAGCTACATTTTAACCACAATCAAGGGCAAGAGGCATGAACCTAATATGAAAATCACAAATATTACTAACTGGTAGTATTTCAAACGCACGTTGACAGCTATATGGACGCCGGCCCCCTTGATTGACATCAGCACAAAAGAGGAGCTCAAGCGGACAGTTCGGGACCTGACCGATACGATCCGCAGGGCCTACTCTGTTGCCACCCGCATAAAAGTTATCAGAGGAAATGCTCCCTGGAGGAGTAAGGAACTGGAGAAGAAACGAAAGGAAGTCAGGACCCTAAAGAAGACATTTCGCAGGGAAGAGGACCCTGCCAGAAAGGAAGCCAAGCGAAATGTTTACCTCGAAAGTTACAGGCAGTATAAACAACTAATAAATAGTAGCAGGAGTAAGTCCTGGCAGGAATTCTGCACAAAAACTTGCGCAAAGAACCCGTGGTCGACCCCATACTACACGGTAAGGGGGAAATACAAGACCAGCTGCCCCCCGCCCACGATTAACGACAATAAGGGCACCTTTACTTCCTCTGTGTACAGTTCATGCCACACCATCATGAGCGAGTTGTTTCCTGAGGACAATGATAGAAATGAGACAGAGAAGCAAAAAACCATAAGGGCACAGGCGGCAAACTACTATACAAAACACAATGACGTTCCTTTCACTGCTCAGGAAATCCAAAGGGAATTCAAGAATATTCGGAGCCACAAAGCCCCAGGGCCGGACTTCATCACCTGGAGGACGGCTGAGGAAGCCTTTGAGGCCCTCCCCACGTCCTTCCAGGTTATTTATAACAAATGTCTCGACATGGGATACTTCCCGACTATATGAAAACAGGCATCGGTGAAACTTATACCAAAGAACCCCAAGAAAACTCCAGAAAAACCGTCCGACTACAGGCCTATATTTCTCCTCTCCTTTCTGGGGAAAATTCTGGATGCTCTAGTCATCAACAGGATAACGCACCACCTTGATAAGAATAATTTTCTTCACCCATTACAGTTTGGCTTCAGAAAGGGCAGGAGCACTATCTCCGCCCTGGACCACCTTATCGACCATATCAACACTGAGAAATCCAAAGGCAACCACACTCTCATGGTAGCAGTGGACTTCAAAGGGGCTTTTGACCACGCTTGGTGGCCTGAGATTCTCCACCAGCTGGGTAAAGCCGGTTGCCCCTATAACATCTACAATACAGTGAAAAGCTACCTCAAGAACCGTACTGCACAGTACTATTTTAATAACAACCTCATCTACAGCAGGCCCATCAGACGCGGGTGTCCGCAGGGTTCCAAGTCTGGACCAATACTCTGGAACATCCTTCACAATACCCTTCTGGGCATCCAAGAAGGCAAGCGGCATAACACAATCATTGTGGCATCCCACCCAAATCAAGGGGTCCTCCAGGAGTATATGACCAGTTTACTGACACAAGTGGAGTAATAATATAAAGCTAAGGATAAACTACAACAAATGTAGGTCCATCCTTTTCCCAAGGGGCAACCCTCTCCAAAAATCTCCATCTGTCAGGATAAATGACCAGAGGATCAAGAGCACCACTGCCATAAAATATCTGGGTCTGATTATAGACCAGAAGCTTCTATGGAAAGAGCATATTTACTATGCCTACGAAAGGGCCACAGAGGCAGCTCACGCCCTGGCCACAATCTCAAGGAATAAAGGGGGGCCAACCTACAAGGCCAGGAAAACCATGTACGTGGCGGTTACTCAGCAAATTGCCGCATATAGTTGTGAGGTTTGGGAGCACAGGGTGGCCAAGGTTCACATAAAAAGAAAGCTCCATTCAATCCAACGTTTGGCCACCATTGGTATCGCCAGGGCATACAAGACAGCCCCATCTGACGGGCTGTCCATCATCACCAATTTGCTGCCCATCGATCTGCACATTGCTCAGAGGTATATCCTACACAACCTCAAAAGGCTCATCAGGACTGAGATCACCCTGAAGCAATACAAAAACAAAATAGCCCCCCTTACAAAATGAGACTCCCTGAGGAAAATAGCCGAGTATATTGTCAGTAAAGGAACTGACTTCACCACTGGCAGCCCTCCCCACCAGGCAACCCCTCTGGGGTGCGAGGTCCGGCTTGAGGGCCCCCGTACTGCAGAGACTGGGTTCAGCATTTATACGGATGGCTCCCGCTCTGACCTGGGTACAGGGGGTTCATTTGTGGTCCATAACGATAAGGGTAGGACTATTCACCAATGCTACTTCAAGATGGCAAGCTACTGTACTAACAATCAAGAGGAGTCACTGGCCATCTTGAAGGCAATCGAATATATCCAGAAGACCCCGGTGCTCTTTTCGAAGAGGCATGTCAACATCATTACGGATAGCAGGGTGGCAATCCATCAAATTGCCAAGATTAACATAAACCTTAAAATTATTAAAGACACTATCCAAGCCATCAACAGCAACAAAAGCACTACCATTACCCTTGCTTGGGCGCGGGGTCACTCTGGGCTCACTGGAAATGAGCAGGCGGACTTCCTAGCCAAGAAAGCGGTTAAGAACCTGCAGCGGCAAACGTACGATAAGATTCCCTATAAGTGGATTGTAAACCATATCCAGAACTACATTAACAACTGCTGGCAAGACAGGTGGGACTCTAGCACCACTGGGAGGCAGGTCTATCGCTTCATCCCCTCTATTGAAGACAGGATCAGCAACACTCACTTCCGCCCCTCCTATGAGGTCACGCAGCTGTTAACCGGTCACGGAAACATGAAAAGTTACCTTTCTCGCTTCTTGGGGAAGGGGGATGGTCACTGTGAATTCTGCGCAGACGAATGGGAAGACAGCGAGCACATTCTACTATACTGCCCAGCGTTCAACAGGCAACGAAGGAAGCTCATTGACTCTGCCAACTCCGAAAACGAAATGTGGCCTTGTGCACTTAGTCTCTTTATCAACAATAAAAACATCTTCAAGGCCTTCAAGGACTTTGCATGCAGTATTAAGATTTTAAGCTAGCATTTGTCTCTCTTGGTACGGGCCATGTATTTTCATTCTTTGTAGCGCTAAATGGCCCCATCTGTAAATACCATTGTTAATGTTACTACTTGGGATATTGTTTTATAGTTGTATGTGGCACTGTAGCCATGATGTGTAACTGTTACCTCCCTTTTGTTTAAATAAATGGCCTGTTGTAGGACCATGGGATCCCAAACTCCCCTTCTCTTCCCCCCTTTATATCCCCTCCCACCACTCTACTTCTCTAATCCATCTTTCTCCCATTTCCCAAGGGGCTATGCTTCTACTCGGCCCTTCTCTTTCTCTCACTGTCTCTCACTGTCGTTATGCTATTTAGAAAAAAGTTTTATTTTTTAAATCATGCTAATATAAAATTATACATAAAAACACACATGTAATGTCTTCTATTTTGTTGTTTCTATTATTAGAGTTGGTAATATGACGAACAGTAGGTAAGAGAAATGCCATATGGATAAACCAATACTAGTAACAAGATAGAAAGATAAACGAAAAAATANAATAAAAATATAATTTTTTTTAATAATAAAAATTAAAAAGGCACCATTTTTATTCTTGGCCGTAGACGTCCAAAATCATAGTTACGGCTCTGGCCCCACGCATTACCGCTGGAATTAGATCAACTCAGTGTTAGATTCACATTGAAACTGCTTTTTAATCATTTACGTCGAACTTAGTTTTTTATCATATATTTCAAATTTTCAGGAAGAGTTCTTGCAAAAGTTTTCTTTTTTGAACTGATACCTGAAAGAAATATCAACTGATTCCTAAGCAAAACGGAGATCCGTGAGAGACACGAGAGAAGTGCAGTTTTAATGACAGGAAAAAATTCTGATGGTCCGTACAGAAATTTGGACATTGATCAACTCAAAGTTTTGATAAGTATTGTTTTTTATTCGAAATTCGAACTAAACACGAAATGACTTATCAATAAATAATAATGTCGATATCAGACGTCTCGCTTTGATGACGTGGTCCCTACGTCCCGGCCAGTTTGTCATTTTTCCCGGTTAATTGGTAATATTTTAAAAGTGCCGAATAAACAAGAAGTAAAAATAGTGTAGTCAGGGGTTGAATGGCAATTTGGCAACTAAAATATTTCTTTTGTTACACTCCCTGTTGCCAATCTAAATATTTTGTATCCTGGATCTAAGTTAGATTTACCTAAGGTAAATCTAACTTAAATAAATCTAACCGTAAGGTAAATCTAACTTAAATAAATCTAACCGTATTTTTAACTAATGTTGTCTAGATATATTGTTTTAATTACAGCTGGCAACACTGAAACTTACACCGGGCACGTCATGGTTGAGCATGTTCTATGTCTGTCTTCTTAGTAGTAAGGTCTTTTGTACCATTTTTGGAACTGATTAACCTCTCATCGGTAAACTTTCCTTAAAAGATCATGTAAAAAGCGTTGTTTTTCATTATTTTTCTTCAATAAGAATTTCAGTTGAAACATAACAGGTATTGTGATGTGTTTTTGTGATTCATTGATACAGCATCGCGATTTTAAAAAAAATTCTGCAACGAATGCATGCAAACTACTGAAATTTTATTTTCCTTTGAATAATTGGGTAAGATACAACAACCAAAAACCAATGAAATTTACAGATTACATATTTATATTAATTGATTATTTATGTAACTATGTGTGGCTATATAATTACCATTCACCAAAATTTTCAATTTTACATATCATATAATTTCAATTATCAAAATAGGCTACATATAGAATATGTGTTACACACATTATTTCTTTTGCAAATTGCAGGGCTCACATCTGCATTCTGCTGGTTCTTTAATAGAATGATCGACAGTTGTATCATTTTTATCACAATACAATTTAATAGCAACTTCTTTGTATCTAGTAGGTATACAGCAAGAACAATTCTTCGTATATGTGACACCTGTTAATGAAGAAAGTCGGATTAAGATAAATGCCTATATTAAAAATAAAAGAAAAAAAACGTAACATACCGTTTGACTCGTACTCGTACTCGTATTTGGATCTTGTATCACATTCGCCTTCGCAATCACCCAAATTTATTATATTCTTCTGGTTCTTACACCCATCTACGTTAAAATATCCTTTAGGAATATCAATTCTTCTTTTTAGTGTGCAGTTTTCTGCAAAAATAAATGTATATAACTTTAGTTAACTTCAACATAATGCCAGTTGTTGATTATTATTTTGAAAATAAGTAAAGTAGAATTTCACTTATGTATAACGAGGTATGGAATTTCTGGCAATTGAAGTAGCCAGAAAGATTGGGATGGTTAATTAATGCTAAAACTTATGCAATTCTTGAGTGTAATTTCATAGGTGGCCCCATAAACAAAAGTTATACCGTATTGTATTCCATTTCTCATATAATATTCAAAATATAAATTGAAAGAAGACTACTTTTCAAAAATTGTAAACACTAAAAAGGAAGACACCGCTGGTATTTTTACTCCTTTTTAGCATTTATCTATTTCATATATAACCTTTTTCTACCACATAGCTGGAAACACGAACAATGTAGAAAACACCCATCACGTCGATTTTTTATGTTATAAAACATCTTTTCCACGTCTGTTATATAATTCTTAGCAGTTTGTAAATGCGACTTTATTTACATATCTTATTGAATTTTAATTCTTTTACACTTTACGCAATGGAATTTTATGGAAATATCCTATACTCTGTTATTATATTGTTTCTAAATTTTTGTCTTAACTTTAGCTTTGTACCTTTAGCATTTAATATTTTAGACATTTTGTGTATATTTTGTCTTATATATTGTATTTGAAATTTTCATATATGTTTTATTATGTCGATTGATTTTCTTTTTATGTATTTTATCTGTTTTTGTTATGAGTCTTGTTATTTATTGGAGGAGGAGATCTGCTGTCCAGCGACATTTCCTAATGTATATGAAATATATAAATATCGATAAATAAACAAATATATATATATTTAATAAAAATAATTCAAATATTCAAAATCATAGGAAAAAACATGAAATTTTGTTTCGGTCGGGCGCGTGGGGTGAGAGGTCAGGCTGTCGTCTAAGGCAGTAATTTAAAAGGGAGGAAATTTCGAACGACATTCAAATTTTTATTCATTACAATGTACAGTACAACTAAGTAAATAATATACTTAGTTGGCTTCTTTCATAATTTTTAAATCTAAATATGCTAATTGGCGCTGTATTGTTTTAATTTACGCTGCTCCGCGGTGCCAGTGCACCTCGGAGCAGCGTATAAATATTTCTCAGGAGTCTGAGAAACAAATGGGATTCTTTTTAATTGTCAGTAGAATTCTGTTGACTGTAAAGAATCGCTGTACGCTAGAATCTTAAAATTTAAACGGCAACTTTATTGAAATCTTTAAGAATATGTAATCTTAGTTATTCAGTTATATGCCTCACATTCGTTAGCATTGAGAAGTTCGAACAATGTTGTGAAGATCTGGACAGGTCATATATTTTTATGAAAAAATTAAGGATAGTCAACTTTAAGAAGCACCAACCGTAATTTAAACTAAAAAATTTTTAATTATTTAATTAATATTTAAATTTATTAATTTTATATTATTTAATAATTTTAATTTTAATTCATTTTAATTTATTTAATTGATATTTTTTAATCAAATGTAATAAAGTATACAAAAGTAAGGTAAAATTCCGTCAAAAACTGACCATACTTTTTACTTTTATGGTAAAAAGGTAAATTAGGCTTCCTTTAACTACACCTTATCTTGATTTTCCCAAACCATTTGCTCGGTTGACACATCAGTTTATCCCGTCAGATGATACAATTCTCAGGTAATGATTGGAGGAATTTGCATATCAAAAAAACGATTTCCAATCATTCCGGGCAGTCAACAGTATTTCCGAAACTGCCATAATTAGAGACGGCCTTAGAGAAGAGGCTCAAGCTAAGAGGACAGCCATAAGAAGATATCCGCATAGAAGAAGCGGTCAGGCTAAGAAGTCCCATCTATCAATTAGCCTTCGTCTGTCTCCATAGCATAAAGACCTCCCATATATATACGATCACTTGTAAACGTTACTTAAAGTGTAACATGTTCGGGAGAAGTAACATTTGGCACACAATAAACAAGTATAGAATTTATAGAAATAAACCAAATTTTCATTGGAGAATATAAAATTTCCCACAATAGTTCATTTCTATCAAACGTTTTTGCTGGGTTGACTTAAACTGTCCCGTTTTGGGAGAAAAGTCCTTTAATCTAGCAACGTTATCTTTCGCACTTCTGATTTACTTCGCACGAAAAAGAAGCAGACCAAATCATGAACGTGTTCGATTATTTCGTTTTCTAAATAATACTCTCAAGGTGAAAGTGAGAACCGTTATTTATTAATGTATTGTAAGATAACAGTAGTTAAAGAATTTTAACAAATGAAAATTTAAACAATCAATACATTGTGTTTTTTGGGCTGCAATTTGAAAAAATTGTAGACCTATAAATCCTAACTGTCGTTTGTTGTTCTTCTGGAAAACGGAGTTAGATAGATGAAGGAAGAGACCAAATATGAAAACTACAGGGGAAGCAGGCCTCGATTATCTACGTAGAAACTTCCATTGAAAACCGAAGTCACGTTATTTCAATTCATATTTCCCCCAAAAGGAGTTATACAGATGACCTGCATGATTCTATTGCTAAATGAAACGTTTGATGTACTGTACAGGGGCAAGCCAATGCAAGTATATTCGAAAATTTCAGATAAGTGGTATTTGCCCATTTCTACTTATAAATAAATAATACTGTTTGTTAATTGCCTTGACAATTTAAGTAGTTTAGAAAATGATATCTTTTAGTGTCTCGGTATTGAAGATAGTTCCTTATATCTCAAGGTTCATAAAGCGAAATTATCTTATTTATCCTCAAACACATAAAATTTTGCAGTAAATATCCAACAATATTTACGTTTATCTGTTCTCATCACAAACGTGTGAAAATGAAGGGGCTATTTTTGATAAAATTTAAAGAAACGAGAAGCTTTAGAAACTTGCCCTTTTTCCGCACAGTTCCCAGGAAATAAAAACGAGAAAATAACGAATTACTAGGGAGGAAAGGACTATGTTGACTTACCTGTCAACAAATCCTTTCTTCCCTCGCATAGACTCTCGAAATTAATGCAAATATGTGAAAAAGTTGACACTTATCTTTCGTCTAAGGAGGAAATCTAAAACAATCCAAGGAAATACGAAACCTTCGTTTAGTTTTCGTTGGTCAGCTATGATACTTTCGACATATCATCGCTACCTAATAAACGGTCACCCGATCAGATTTCCACACTGAATACACATATTGATATAACGGCCAGACACCTATTAGTGAAGAGCGGACATCTCTAGCAGCCATAAATTACGGCTCGTCCCGACATATTAAAGGCGGACAAATTTAATGACAACGGATATAAACTACTTCTGTCTCGCCATATAATAAGTGAACCTTTTCCGAGTGGCCATAGTCAAAGCCAGTTTTCCACCCTCGGTGTGCATAGAAGATTCCGCACTGGATACCGACTTTACTTCGATTCGACTAGAAGACGGCTCATTAAACTCTTGTTTCGTTATTAACTTGATCCCGTGTTGACTTATTTCGGCGCATAAAGACACCCTATCGACTTACCCATCGCGCCTCCCCACTCGAAACAATTAGCCCTTCTATTACAAGCCATCCAGTGACAACGTGAGCGGTCTTTACCAGGTCGTCGCCGATCCAAGAGGGTTTAAACCGATATCCATCAACCCCCGGCTTCTCACAAATGACATTATTTAAAATCAGCTTTTTCTCTATCTACTTTCAGCCAGTACACAAGCTCTGTAATGTCGGTCGAATGTATTTAAATGACCAATTATTTTTCAATTTAAAAGCCGTTTATGCTTATGAAATTGAAAATTTCGAACAGGCGAACCTTTTCAACTCTTTCCTTATTGACTCAATAGAATTCAATAAAATTTGAACATAAATACATTTGTTGTGATAAACGTCAATACTGGTTTCGTACAAATATTTTATACTCTACTTTTTCTGTAAAATAATACTTCTTTGTGTGTTTATATTATTTAAAAATATATTTATAACCTACAGGATCACAAATAATTGACGAATTTTTCATTGTAATTTAGTATATTTCGCTTGAAAAAAATTTGGCACTTTTAAAATTTCGTACTTAAAAGAAAAAAATGTTTAATCAATTTTATGAAATTCTTCAAATGATGTAGTGGGATAAATGTGTATATCTTTGTGTGTTTTTAACTGAACTTTGTATTTTGCTCGAATCGTGTGTTTCAAATGAGAACTCCTTTATTAACTTTCCCTCTTCCGCACTTAAAAGTGATTTATTTTAAAAGTAAATGTTTACAATTGCTTCGAATTACTCATTATTACTAAAGAACGTCTGACATGTAAAAAATTGCGCCAAGTAAAAACTTATAAGAATTTAGACGACGGTCAACATTTTTCATAGTTTTTCTTTGCTAAAGATAAGTTTGGCGCTTGGAAGCGATTCGTAAACAACAATAATTCAGGTAAATAACTTGTGGATATCGCTTTGAAAAAGAAAATACAGGTTTTTTGGTGGGTTTTGATTACCAAAGAAAATAATTTTGTTTTGAAAAAGGAATTCGGAGTTACTTTAGACCTTTGGAGAGAGGAGAAATCGACCTCCGAAAATCGAAAAACTAATTTCTATATATATATAGTGAGTCGGTGCTTTTTTTTACTTGGCCGAGAGTCACTGCCATGATTTTCGATTTTTTTTCATATTTTAAACTCTAAACTTTTGTAGCTTTTCAATAACAACAACACGGTGTTCAAACATTGCGCAGCGGGCATATTTATGCTAAAAAGAAAACAAAATTTTTTCACTCTGTGAAATTGTGAAAGAGCGGCACTTATAACTATCGGTTTATTTTAATTCGAGCTGAGTTACATTATTTGTAGCGATAAACAATTTTTATTTGTTTGTTTGTTTTAATACATTTAAAAAAATAGAATGACTGAACAATCCTTTAATTTTTAATAGAAATATAAAATTATTTCATGCATTATAAAATCGCATATCAATACGTTACTAACGACAAAACTAAAATCCCACGGTGTCTGTGAGAATGCAGCATTTTTCTATTATAAGTTTATTTGTGTAGAGTCTGTAAGATTCCACCATTTTCTATTGTCAATAGTTTAAAGAGTTCTAGCCTGTTCGAGCAACAACTTACGATGGCTACTTACATAATCAGAAAGTATTGATAAATACTTTTTTATTGTCATTTCAGTAGC